CACCCTCTAACCTCTTTCTAATCAACCTTTCAATTTAGTATTAGTTGGTGCACAATCTGATGGATAGCCAATTGATCAATACAGTGATAGACTGCAATTCATACTCCTAGGTAACACGAAGTCGACTATTATGGCTAACAACCTCGAACTATTTTATAGAGGTCCTATATCCTCTCGGTTATATACTTTATTCCCAAGTGACTGTTTGGTTTGCCAGTACATCTTGGCGCCTCAGATAAGTTGACGATACTGCCCTGGTATCATTTATCATCAAATAAAGGTGACATGGATCTGCCAACGGTCGATCGGTGTCATCGAAGATTTCTCAGCCAGAAATCAACTCCGCTTAAATGCCCAGAAAACTCGCGAGCCAGTGTTCATTGCTAAGAACACTGAAAGTCCTATTTTGCTGAGTAAGACTGCTCAGATTGTCATCGCGGACGGCAACGTTATCCCTGAGGTTGAGCATGTCAAATGCCTGGGAATTGTTATCGATGACAATTTGCAGTGGCCTCAGTACGTGACCTCTATAAAGCTTCAGGTACATAGGGCATCGTATTATGCGCAAAAACTTCTCGCTATTAAAGTCCTTCTGTCTGTGACACAAAAGTTTGCCATCTCTTGCATGATTCCACTTTTCGTCTACGGTTTTCCCGTATTCATCGGAGGCCTTCTTGTGAAAGATTTTACTATCTTCGTCCATGTTGTGCATTCTATGGCTTCCCATTTCCCTCAGTAGCTGAAAGAGTTTCAGTCTGTGACTGTAATGCAGTTGTAAGACTGGGTACGAACATCCTAATCAGTCCAAAGCATCTCCTACGCAACAGTCTTTCGCGCTGCAGTTCAAACGTTCAATGTACAAGATCCGTTTACTGCAGCGTCTATGCACATGGGTTTACCTATGGAAATTGCATGCTCCGTAACACTGTGGGTTGTTTCCGTATCCCAGAAGCTTCCAGGCTTGCCCTTCTTGAAAAAAGAGGTGGATTATTTTTTACGGACTTGTGATCAAAGCTTATGGTGTACTCTGTTTCTCCCGGCGTCTTACTTGTATTTCACTTGTTTCGTTGTTATTGTTAGCTGAAAGGCGACATTCTTCGTGTTGAACATAGGCTATAAATTGTTGTTTTTGTTCTAAATCAGTACGATTATGTGTAATCGAAACGTTATACTCTCTAGGAAAATTAACGCTAAAAAGTTTTCTGCAAATTCCGGCCATTATGAAGCTGTATGGTTTGTGTTCTCGACCAACAGAGATCAAATGGTCCGGCAGTTATCGGCAGACGTCGCATATACCGACGGAAGCAGTAGTACCTGTCAGGCATTTTCGCCCTGTCGTGGATTTCATTGCCGAAAGAAAGTGTTAAGCAAATGAGATGGAGATGGAAACGTCAAGACGATCCATTGATCTTAAGACTCCACGCAGTGCTCAATTGCGGAAAGGCGTGTATTTAAATGGTTTCAATGTCTAAAGTTACCTTTGCAACCCCCGCCATGTGTGTTTTTGTTTTGCTACGGCTCCTGTCCTGCAGTCACTGTTGTGTTCGTGTGCACTTGTTCTGAGCGTGTTTGATGAATAACCGTTTGCCGGCACTGATCCACAAGTCTTCTGATCGGATGCAGCAGCCTGGACCTGCGTTGTACACATTCAGACTAACGCCCACCCTGTTACCTACTTTCGTATCCGTTTCCCTTTTGTTCATGCATTCAGCATCTGGGAATATTGGTCGCTACCTCGTATAGTCCCTTGCATTAAGTATCTCATTCATTGCGTTGGTAGTCATACAACTTAAGCAGCGGAGTAATGCAGATTTATCATATCTGACCGTTTCAGATTGATATCAGGTAGTCATACTAAAATAACATAAAAACTTTATGCGACAGAAATTCGCTTTGTCTTGTGGTAAATTGCTATTTGCAGTAGCACTGTATTACGTTTAGACTGAATCTTTTGGTCGGTGTATATAATTAAGTTTTTTGCTGTTTCGTTTTACTTCTTGCTCTTTTCTCTTCGTCATTATAATATTTCTTTTTCACTTATTTCGATAAATGACGTCCCCCGCATCGTAGCAGACATTCATTGTTTGTTCCTCTAAGCCACCGTTGTATTCGACGTTTCCGTTTCTTTCTTCCTCTTTCGCGATCCTTCCACCATGACATCTAATATTGAAACAGTTAACGAATGAAGGTTTTGACAGCGGTAGGTACTTTCATTGGTGGCAACAGCGGTCGACTGTTCTTTTCGTAACCGGGTCCATGATCACTCAATTTCCACCCACGCTTCACTCTGTTCATAAGCTGCGGCCCTACTTAATCGGTTGTACTTCGGCACAAAGCAGAATGTACTTTGTTACTGAAAGTTTGTATCCATTGGAATATCACTTTCGGCTACACTTCTATGAATGGCATGATTTTTATCGTACCCTTGTTTTATAATGCTTATGCCACTATTTTTATCTCAGTTTTGGTACCATCTGCCAAAAATAATCTGTGTGAAGGCACTCTCTATATATAGGCAGCCTAACTACAGTTGTTCATTATTACGTGCTACCTGACCGGCATTCTATCGCGCGATTTTTCAAATGCTAGTCCAGCTTCGTACAGTCCTTCAGCTAAGAAAGCAACGATCTATTCTTATGAGGTACTTGTTAGAATGCTGAGGTTTTCAGTATATTATGAGGTGAGATTGTTTAAAGCTCTGAGCCCCGTTGTTCTTCATCATCACTTTGGAAAACTTACTTTTTCTCTGTCTTCTTCATAGTGCACGTGCGATCCTTCTCATTTTCTCATGGTCGTCCTTCACAGAATTTTTAGGCATTTGACGATTGTCACGGGATTCACCTTGAAACTTGAACACCAACATGTGCTCCCTAATTGCTTCGTTTAATTAAAATCACTGTTGATTGACATTTTCACTGTTCGATCCATTTTTTATAATGACTTTCTAGAAATCCTGAAATCAGAAGATCGACTGAAGGTGTTCAGAAAGGTCGGTGCTAACCAGAGCCTTTATGACGCGTTCATCGTTTTGCTGGAGACCAGTTATCATCGCATACCTGTTCTTGACGAAACATCCGGCAACCCGCTGCATTTTTTGACACACAAGCGGCTGCTGCAGTATTTATATTTATATGTATGTATACTGTTGCTCTTCCTTACGAATCACTCGAATGTTTTACCGGATCGATTGGCCATAATAGCACCTTTTGTTTTTCACTATTTTTTTCTTCGTCCTTATCTTGGCTAACGAAACCTTAATTCGCTCAAATCTGATTAGCCTAAATTTGTGACGCCTTCCTGTGTGAAACGAGTGAACAATTTAAGATGGCAATCGCGGTAAGACTTATAGAGCTAAATTGATCCATAATATGCCTACATGGAAAGATAAAATGATATCACACCATGCTTTTGAAAGTTTACTAGAACAAGCATTGCGTTGGTGCATTGAAACTTGACAAGGTCGAGGTTCTCTTTGTTGAAACGGTGCAGTTCAAGATATTTGATTAGGTATTTAGTATGCAGATATGGAATATGCAGAAGATTCAGTCTTGGTCAGTAGTAGGGAAAGCTGGCTTTTCACTTGACAGTGTCCCAATGCAGTATTGCTGCTTAAACCTGCTTTTTCTTTAATGCTTGAAAGTCCAAAGTAATTAGAAGTCAATCCGGTGCGACATCACGTATAGCAGAAAGCACAAATAGTAGACGTTGACCAATTTAAGTACCTAGAGCACTATCCATTAGTGTTAAATGTAAGGATTACCCGTAGCTTTCAACGCTTTCAGCAGGCTGTCTGGTATTCAGACCGATAGAGCATTCCTTCTGAATTTAGATCCAGTACCGTAAGTAATTAAACGACTCGTTGAGAGGAAATTCAGAGCTTTGCAAGGCAACAAATTTCTAACGTTTACTCTGGAACACTGCCTTCCCTCCATCGTCAAAAATATTACAAGGATAGTTATCGGTATTACATTAATCTGCTGAACCACTGCCTAATAGTCCGCCCCTGTTCTTCACTTCAGCTCATTCTCTCGTTGACACGGCATGTTTGTATCAGAGGTGATGCATTGCTGCAGGGTACCAACACGTGGATAGCCATCAGTGAAACGCATTTATTACAAAATCGTATACATCATTCACAATTGCTATCGTTGCTAAGTCGACGCTATGTTTTTTTTTTCAGATGAACGATTTGCCGAAGCCAAGTTATCTGTACGAAGGTGTTCGCTTTCTGAACATCGGCACTTACGAGAGCGTGCTGTACGTGCACCCGAACACAAAGTTGATTGATTGCTTGGCACGTTTGAGTGAGAAGCCGATCTCAGCGGTGCCCGTCGTTGAAAGTGATGGCACCGTGGTTGACGTTTACGCACGATTCGATGCAATCCAGATTGCCGCCGAGGGATCCTTCACAGTCCTTAGCAGGACGGTTCGTGAGGCGCTGCAAAGCAGGAAGAACGCCAAGGTTCGAGCGCGCCGGTTTGCTTGCCGAAGGTTTTAAATTTCCAGTGATTAAAGCACGTATAACCGGGGTGATTCCTCAAGGGCTCAAGGCAAATGCTGTGATTGGCGTAGAAATTTTTTCCGTTCATTCAATCTTGAGATTGGCTTACGAATAAGTTATAAGTCAGATGTAAATTTCGCACCTTCATTATGACCAGTCTTAAATGATTGTTTAACATTGATTTGCCAAACTTCACTTTTACCGGTCTACATTTCATATCTCACAATAGAAATGAACTTTATCACACGTGACTCCTGCCATTTATTTTTACGATGCTTAGACAGCTGGAAAGACACACGTTCGATTTCAACTAATCGTGAATTTTAACCTATGCACTGCTTCATCATGTTTATCATGTCAGAAGATAGTGTGTAGATTTCCAAAAACAAAAACTGCGCTGTGCAAGCTAAAACTGTTCGTTGATCAAACGTCCAAAGCTAGCGTATTTCTCATTGTTATGCGATGTGAACAAATTCGGCATCGTGATAACTGTCCACATTTGCGTTAGGTGCCGTATTCCCTCTAGCTTTTTAACATATCAACTCCTAAAATGCTTATATCTCTGACAAATACTAATTCTCTTTTCATGGGTAAAGACATTAAAATAAAAAATAATTTCGAACGAGGTTTTTATTATAACATGCCCTGTTTATCTTCGAGTCGCACCGACACCAGGAACAATGGTAATAATATATGCTAGGTGGAGTCTTGTCTACATTGTGATGGATATTTGATCGAATTTACCTGGCGGGGTTGCCTTCTTTTAAATCTTTCAAAACACTCTCAACACGTTTGAACCTTCTGAACCACTGCCGCATATCTTTCAAGCTGTATAATTTGTCCTCGATGGTCGTTCCTCTGGCGTCACTCAGTTCAGTGCCGAAAGAGTGGCGCCACCGGAACAAAACTAATTTCATTTACAGATGTGTGTGCTCACCTAAGCGAGTAAAAAATTGCCACTGGTTCAACTCAGGTCAGTTTTTACCTGTCTGCAGTATGAAACATCCTAAATGGACAGGTGGGTCTTTAGGAACGGTTTTCACACAATTATGACAAATAGTCTTCAAAAGATCATCGATATTTTATGCTCTGTATATTAGCTGACCTGCGCTAAAACGCAGCCGAATGTGTTAACGTGAATAGAGGCTCAGTGTGATCCGTTGCATGGCTTAAGCCTGTCCGCGTAACTGCAGTAATTTGATTGTCATATTTTTCAACTTCGCCGTTGCCTCTCTCAAACTCGGATGAGAATGGAGGAGGGTCGGTGGCAGTCTGCGAAGTCTCCCGTTAAACTTAGCCCCCGTTTTTACCAAAGTGTCTATTAGTAGTGGTATAATCTCCCTACGAATTCGCACGGCATTGTCGTTCTGTCTGAGTTGTCTAGAGGGGAGGGTTAGACAAGTCATAGCTCCATGGTATTTTAGCAACTGTATTGCATGGGTGCAAAACAGTGACATCTGTTGGGTCGAATAGACATGTGCTCCGTAGGCATATATAATTGAAATTTACCCCAGTATTATGGTTTTGCTAGCAAACTTGTAGTTTCGATACTGGCGGTAAGAATAACAATCTCCCGTCACTTCTTCTCGATTTAAACTGTCCCCAACTGTTTAAAGTAACAGGAAATTGTCATTCTTGCTAGTAGTATTGAAAACCAACTTGTTGCCAGCGAACCTATCATTCACGCGGACCGGCTCGTTGTTGAATCGCAACTGCTGAAACTCTGTGTTTTCATGGCGCATGAATTTTTGCCGCCCGCTAGAACGAGCTAACTGTGACTTTGGGAATTTCGTACCGACTGGTTCCCCAGTTTCGTACGTTTTTTAATCGAAGTTGTCTCTTCTAGCCTTTGACAAACCGGCGTCCAACTGAACGGCAGCGGCACATTGATGATATTATTTTTCCAAAGAGGTAGCTCGCTTTCGCCTTGTTATCAGACTATCATCGGGCGTGGTGTCTTTTCTTTGACGATTGCACATGTCAAGCTCGAACTCAGCCACCCCCTGGTAGTTCTGCCGCAAACTCTCGGTGATGAATTAATTTTTGCAGCTATCCTCCATTTCTCTAGGTCACCACAGTTAGACACACTGGAAACCCATAATTGCCCGGTTAATGTTTAGCGGTGGCATATTATATATTACTAATTCATTAATTATCTACTATTAATTAACGTTCTCGTCACAGCTTTTACATCTAGTTTAACTTCATTGTGTTTTTTATTTACTTCCACACTGTGTTGTTGTTGTTCGTAGCAAATTTATCGACGTGTGTGTTGCTTTAGTGGTTTTCCGGCGTGGTCACTTGCGTGGAGTCGGATACACTTTTGTTCGTTATCGAGAAGCTGGTTGTCGCTGAGGTTCACAGCCTCATCGTATTAAACGATGAGAACCATCTTTCCGGTATCATTACGGTGTCGGATGTTCTTCGATATATCATAATGAAACCCCAACGTGGTGAGTACAGGTTTCCTTTTGTATGCTTAACTGCGCTTTAATGACTAACCGTCTAATGCTGCTTTTCAAAAACGTTATATTCTGCTCGAAATATGGTTTGCTGA